AGGATCTGTGAAGAGACAGCCCTCTTTAGGTATAATTCTTCATTTTCGCTTTCCCTCACCCTTCTTGGTGAGCACACACACTCCTCAGCAAACTAAAAAAATTAAACTATGTAAGACAAAAAGGAATTTTCCCATTAGGATGATATATAACATTTGATATTTATTGTAAATTTTACTTGTTTGTGTATTCATATATTGTTTGCCAGAGGGTGTGTGTGCTTGCCAGACACACAGAGAAGGAAAGGGAGAAAATACTCCCCATGTGGAAGGGTCATGCTATAACCTCTTCACCTCCATTTCACCTCCTTTTGAGATTTTGGGCATGTGTGCAGGTGCATTTAAGTGTGTTTTTCAAAGACTTGAGCTACACCATCAGCTTATGGGATCAAGCTCTCTTAACCGCCAGGTCACAGGCTGGCCTGATGTGTTTTTTTCAAGGTAAATTAAGTTCTCATCTGTTCCTAAAGTTTTCCCATGAATCTGTTAAATCTTACCAGGAAGTTTTTTCCGCATCCCTTGCCATTATAAAATTTTCTCTTTTAATCTGTTTATGGAGTGAACTACATATATATATTTTCTAATGTTAACGCATCCTTTGGACAATTGGTATAAACCCAGCTTAGATATTGTTTTCTTTTTATATACTGCTGGAATGTTTTTGCACCAGTGAGAAGAAGTCAAAACTTCTGTTGCCAAGTTCTGAAAAAACTTTCAGTTTTCAAGTTATTGTGTTACACACATTTGCAATCAACAGTCTACACAACTTTATCTTAATGATTTTTTTTTTCTTTTTTGGTTTTGCTATAGGGCATGTGTATTAACAGAGAGAGACAAAGAAAGATGAAGAGAGGGAAAGTGAGAAAGCACCTCCCCCCCTCGCAGGGGGAATGTCACACCACAATCCCTTCTCCATTCTCCTCTCAAGATTTTGGGCACACATGCACATGCAGCTTCAGACTGTAGTCAGCCTTGTGGGATCCAGCCACCTTAATCATCACACCTCCTGGCTGCTCCCCAATTTGTAAAAATAGTAATGCTGGGACCAGCAGATGGTGTAGTGGTTGCATTGCTGGGCTCCCACATGGCCAACTGTGGTTCGGGGTCCAGACCTGGTGGCTTGAAAATCACACTGGGTTCATGTGTGTCTATGCCCAAGATCCTGGGAGGAGAATAGAAGAGAAGGGGTTGTGGCATGGCCACCCACCCCGGGAGGTGATTTCCCACTTTCCCTCTCACTGTCTCTGTCTCTCTTTCTCTCCCTAGCAAGCACACGCATCCTAAGGCAAAAACCTCTCAAAAATAAATAAATAAAAAGAATAGTGCCTATGATCCTTAGCACTCGTGTCAGTTTTTGTTTAACTTGTGGACAAACTTAAAGATGAGGCAAAAATAAATCCTCCTTTGCAGCCCAGCACTCATTGTTCAGTATGCATTCGGTGCATGTAAGAAGGAATATTATAACTTTAAAAAAGCATCCACATAACTCTTCTTTAATCCAGCCCACATCTCGGAATTGTTCCCATCAGGGTCTTACAAAGTTTTTAAAGATACCTTCTTTAAATCAAGATATATAGGGAACCAGCAGTTAGCGTAATGGCTATATCGCTGGACTCCCACATAGTCGACCGTGGTTCGTGTCCTGGACCCGGTGGCTTAAAACTCACGCCGGGCGTGTGTGCGTGCGTGCCCAAGATCCCGAGAGGAGACAAGATCCCGAGAGGAGAATAGAGGAGAAGGGATTGCGGCGTGACCATCCCCCCTGGGGGGTGATTTCTCGCTTTCTGTCTCTAATGTCTCTCTCTGTCTGTCTGGCGAGCGCATGCGCCCTATAGCAAAAATCTCTCCAAAAAAAAA